GGGGGGGGGGGGTCACCTCGCACCAGTGGCCTTCGCGAGGATATTACCGTATAGGACACGATATACCACACTCCATAGACCGATTTTCGAAGCTCGATTTCTCGACAGCAAAGAGAGAGAGTCACAGCGCCATAAACGGCGTTGTTGCATCCGCCTTGTAGAGAGTTTCCCGAAAACGCGTTGTTTTATTTGTGCATTCTCTTCGTCGTCGCGTAATCGAGTTTTGAAAATTGGTCCAGGGGGTGTGTTATCTTGTGTCATGTACGGTAATGTTGGTAAGGGGGTACTGTGCGAGGTGGGGTTGGGTGAGGATAGGGTTAGGGATACGGAAACGAACTCCCCCCTTCTCTATTTCGTAGATGAATACAAGGTCTCCCTTCGCTACCCTCCCTCAGGTGGCGCAAGACCACATGAGCATTGCCCGAAGAGGGACTGGCCTGTGTGTCTTACAACACTTGTTTTTCCGCACAAATTATCGCGCACGTTGTTATTCTACATTGGAGCCAGCTCGAGCGGACAATATTTTGGCAGCGAAAACTCAGACTTTCATGATGTCTTTGATGATGGCAGATTTCCGATGAGAACCGATATTATTTGAAGCCGAAACAACACCACAAACGGGACACGTTCAACACTGCGGCTGGATGCATGCTCTCAGACTTGTCTAAACGTAGGTACTGCTGTTGTACAGTGCGGTGACACGAAGAGTCACAGCCATGAATAATCGAATGAATGAATGAATGAATGAATGAACGAATAAGAGTGGAGAAGCACGAGGCAAATATTTCAAACCGTCATATTTGATGGGTTTGATGGGTTTCAGAATTGGTTCGCCAGACTTTGTCAGCGTGGAACGCGTCCCCGGGGTTTGGAGCCAGTTTTCGCGACCTTAGCCATCAACCACACGCGCCACGGAGGCCTACCGAGCTCCGGGCCCGGGCGTTAGTGTACCGATGAGCCTCCTGCGTGCCCCTGAGAAAAAACCGCGAGAAAAGACTCGCTGCCGCGAGAGAAAGAAACGCCGAAGCATGAAAGGTGACCAAATCATGTATGTACATATTAAAAAGTGCCCGCGAAGGCCGTCCCCTTCAAGGACATGCACGCGGGTTTTGATGGTTTTGACATTTTCCATGTTTTTCATGTTTTTCGTGTTTTTGGTCGGAGGGATCCGCTGTTGGGATGCAGCGACATGCCACGAACATACGCGCCATGCATTGTTTACTCCGGCCTCCGATTCAGGAACCATGGTATTCTTTTTCCCGGCCGGCCGGCCACGCGAGCAATTGTAGGTTGGAACTCTGATTCCATCCCCGCGTGTCGATGACGTTGGTATGCTTATATGCGTCATGAGATTTGTGCCGGAAATCATGAGATTTGTGCCGGACGAACATACAGCGATTTTACAAACCTCTTCGGCACGGTATACTCACGAAACCATCGGTACACATTCACGTTTATTTTGTTGGACACACCACGTGAAATGTAAAAAAAAAAAAACGTGCGACTGAGCCGAGGCTCGAATTAAAACCCAACCGGCAGAAGGCTGCCAAGTTACGAACTGAACCCTTGTAGGCGACCAGCTCGTGTACACAACACGGAGGAGAGACACTAAAACAACAAGGAGGAGGGACACGAAACAAACAAGGAGGAGGAATCGGTGCCCGTGTCAGCCAGCCACTCACGCCCGTCTGGTCCTCTCACCTGCAGGCATCGCTGATCCCACCTAACACATTCTCCGCCCGCAGCAACCCCCCCAACCCCCTTGCGGCGGGACCAACAACAGACTCAGAACCCCCCAAGAATGCGCTGCTACCGGACACCGCTTCCCCGGCGACGCAATGCGGCGCGAGCGCATCCTTGGCCCATCCGATGAGGGTTGGGGAAGGGACGTCGCCGAGAGCGTGCATGAAGATGGAGTTGGCGGCGATGGCGAGCGGGCGGAGGTGTCTCGGCGATGAGAGCATGACCGCGAGGTTGGAGTGTGAGGCCGTAGCGAAGAGGAGGGCTCCTCCGAAGAAGAAGAAGAAAAGGAACGGGATCAGGGACGATTGCACCGTAGATGCCACCAGAAGGACTGAGGGAGGGGGGGGGAGGCGGTAGACGTTGCGCATGAGGGGGAACAATTAAAAAAAATGAAAAGGGGAACGAGCACAGTTCTTTGGTTAAGCAACCGAAACCAAACCATTTTAGACTGGTCAGCGCGGACTGGGTCGAATGCTTGGCTTTCGGTCGCTACAAAGGTTCCTTCAGATGCTTAAGTACACATCATCAGCTGCAAAGGTGGAGTATCAGCTGCATGCCTCCCGCTTTCAGGAGCTACTGGGCAAAACGTTCAACGGACATCATCCCGCTGTACATAGATACGACATCAACCTCTGGGTGACCTCGGTCACCAAAACGGCATGGACACACGACGGCGCCTTAAACTTGGCGCCTTACACAGCAGGGTTGCGGTGGACAAACAAACACCCCGTACGGTCCGGGCACTCGAAGAAGCGCGAACGCTACGACGAAGCCCTGGTTGGTCACACAGCACTATCAATCCATCACTACTCCCGTTGATGTCCTCGTTCAGTTTCGAAAAAAAAAAACAACGAAAATCGAAAAATGTTCCTCCGTCGCGCCGCAATGACCACCACCACCACGGAGACGAGACAAGACCAGACAGCGAGGCGCGCGAGAGCGAGCTTCTCTTTACCAAGTAACCCTATGCCTTACTACTCACCGGTGGCCACGCACATGAGCGCGGTCGCCTGCGACAGGACCATGGCCAGCTTCTTCTCGTCCCCCAGCCTCCCCTCCGGATCCGCCGCGTCGATCAGCGCGCCACCGGCGGGCGTCCCCACCAAGCCCGCGGCGCAGATGACGCACCCGAAGGTAGCCGCCGTGGCGCTCTCCGAGGGCAGGAACTCTAGGCTCGTCACGATCGAGGTGCAGAACGTCGACATGCCGACGGAGACTGCCGCCGTCGCCGCCGACCCGAGAACGACGAGGCAGAAAACCGGTCGGTCCGCGACCTCGACCACGTCTTGCAGCGCCAAGATGCTACCAGTGGTGGTGCTGCTGGTGGTGGTAGGTTGCGGGCTTCTTCTTCTTCTTATTCTTCTTCCTGCTGCTGCTGCTGTCGTTCCGAACGAGTCTTCTCCCGGAGAGCAGCACGGAGATTGTCCGCTGTTTAGGGACCCCAGGAGGGGCACCGTCGAATCATGACCCTCCGCCACGATAGAAGCGCGTCCTCCTCCTCCTCCTCCTCCTCCTCCTCCTCCTCCTCCTC